GAGAAATAAATATGAATGAAACTAAGAAAATAACTGTTTAGTCTAAAATTACAATCCTTTTTAATGAATTTTGGATTGATCAGCAGATTTCTTCGAAAAAATTGAATTCAAAAATTTTCAATCTAAAGTTTTGCTTACTAATAGATGTTGTTATTCTTTGAGTATCTTGAAAATGTTAACCAAAACAACAAGATTTCGTTTTCATGTTAGGGCAACTCTTTCACGTGATATAAAAAATTTTTATTGATCTGATTTCTCGCTTAATATGAAACTACAAATATTTATATCTATCAAAAAAAAAAAACACATCAGCTCAATCTTCTTAGGCTTTGTCTTAGAATAAGATTCATCATATATATATTTATATAAAATATCAACCAAAAATAGTTTGGGTCACTTGAAGATTTACCCTAGTTAGTATAATTTCTTTTACTAGTGAATATTTACTTCGATATGCTTCTACATAATAATATCATTTTAGGTATTGTATTTTTGGATGAAGTTGATAAAATTGGTAGTGTACCAGGTATTCATCAACTTCGAGATGTTGGTGGTGAAGGTGTACAACAAGTATATGAATAATTTAATACTAATAATTAATATAATTTTTATTTTATTAGGCATTATTAAAAATGCTTGAAGGTACAATAGTAAATGTTCCTGAAAAAAATTCTCGAAAAATGCGTGGTGAAACTGTTCAAGTTGATACAACAAATATATTATTTGTTGCATCAGGTGCATATACAGGTCTTGATAAAATAATAGGTCGTCGTAAAAAAGAAAAATATCTTGGTTTTGGTTCATCATCAAATGAAGCACCATCACGTCGTCGTGCAACACAACTTGATTTGGATGAACAACATGATGATAATGATAAAATGATTGCTGAAGAAAATTTAGAACGTGATAAATATTTACAAGAATGTGAAGCACGTGATCTTATTGAATTCGGAATGATACCTGAATTTGTTGGAAGGTATGTATATTATTGAAATATTTTTAGTTGAATGTTTACTTTTAATTTGATTTATATAGATTACCTATTATTGTTGCATTTCATTGTTTAAATGAAAATATGCTTGTACGAATTTTAACTGAACCTCGAAATGCTTATGTACCTCAATATCAAGCACTTTTTCAAATGGATAAGGTTAATTTATATTATTAATTCAAATAGATTTGTTTTAGAAAACTACACTTATCATTCTAATTATGTCTTTTTTTTTAATCAGTGATATGTTTGATCTAATAGTATAGTGTATTGGTTTTTTTGGGAAATATTCACATGTAGAACAAAATTTTCATTTTTAACTATAGTATTAAAAAAACACATGCTAGTTCTCATGATGAATTCATAAGAAGGTCTCGGTTAGGACTAGAAAAAATATAAGTGTTCGTAGTCATAGGCTTTTGATACTGAGTTATTATTTTTTCATTGAATTTTTGATCTAGCTTTAAGTATTTATTGAAAACTCAAATAACGGAATTTTGATTTGAAATTTTTCTCATAGATATGTCTAATGACTTTGGGAATATTCTGAAAGTTTCAATCTTGTTATTTAAGTTTTTTGTTAAATGCCAAAGGCAGGATCAAAAACTCAGGGAAAACTGTCATAACTCAACTTTAGAGACCCATAGGCACGAACTTTCTTAGAATTTTTTTAGTCTTACCGAGATCTCCTTGTGAATTGAATATGAACTTAAACGGCAGGTATCAGTTATGGTAATTCCATCGTCAGTTAAAAAACTCTAACGAGAAAACCTAGCTAACTAATGAGTTGAACCTCATTTGATAGGTCCTATTGAGGCTAGAGAATGTCTAAAAGAATTCATTCCTATGAGTTTTTTCTTAAAACTACCTTGCTTTTCGTCAAATCATCTTTTAAATCAAATTTCGAGTTCAAATTTTGCATAAATTAAGTTATCAATAATGGAACTCATTTATGAAATTATCAGAATTTCTAGTATCTTCTATCCTAAGGTACCAACATTGACAGCTTTGTTGTATGACCAAGTAAATGTTATTTTTATTTTTATGAGTGACGGTGCCACAGAAGAGCAGAAGAGAGCTGAATTCTACCTTCTGGATAAAAGTCCGGACGCTCCTACTAATATTTATACATGAGGACAAGAGATCCTAGAAAGTCTAATATTTTTGCAAAAAATGAGTTCAATTGACAATTTTGTTTGTGGAAAGTTTGAACTCGAAATTCGATTTTGAAGTTGATCTGACGAAGAACATCGTAGTTTTTTGAAAAACTCATAGATGCAAATCCTCTTAGATTTTCACTAGTCTCGATGGGATCTATCTAATGAGATACGACTTCTTTCAACAAAGATATATTACTGTACAAGGTTTCCTTGTAAGTACAATGGATATTTATTTCGTTGAAGATTTACATGAAACTTTCTAATATGTCTTGCCTTTGGAAAAATATTTTTTTTTTAAATTTAGGTCCAATTGGATTTTACCGATGGTGCACTTCGAGCAATAGCTAAAAACGCTGTTCAACGTAAAACTGGAGCTCGTGGTCTTCGTTCAATATTAGTTCGTAGTTTCTAAATTCTTCTATCTATCATATAAATCATTAACTTTATCATAGGAACGTATTTTACTTCAACCTATGTTTGATATTCCTGAATCTGATATTGTTGGTGTTCGTGTTGATGAAGAAGCTGTTAAATCAAATAAAAGTCCTGAATATATTAGCTCACGTCCAATAACATCATCTGATGATCTTCATGAAAATTCAACAAAACCGAACGAAAAAAGCCCCAAAGAAAATAATGATAATAAAATTTATCTACCAACCGGTTAAAAAAAATAATACTCAATTTTTGTGACAGATTATTACATTTGCTTTCGAGTTTGTTTTTATTTGTTTTAATTTTAAATTTTCTTGTCCTATTTATATATACATGCATATATATATAGTCTCTATTGTAAACGAAAACATTTTGTACTTGTCAATTCAATTCATCACTTTTTGATATCATTTGTGTGACGGGTCTATCACCTGTAAATAAGTGTAGTTCAGCAATAAAAATTTTTATTTAAATTAAAGACAAAAAGAAAAAGATAAGAAACGATAAAAGAAAAATCAAGAAAAAAAGACGATGTTTATGTTTATAAAGCTGGACAAGCTACATTAACAGCATAATCACAACGACCAAGAAAGAAATTATAGCGAAGACCTCGTGGGCATGAACGAGAAATAATAATTGCTAGAAAAAAAAAATCATTCAATAAAAAATTTCATTAATAAAGATCAATAACAAACTTTTTTCAACACATTCGAAATATTTGCCTTGTGCACAACCATATGCATCAGCATAAAAACCATTATTTGGACATCGAAAATATTCTATTAAAATTCAAAATAAATTAAGAAAAAAAAGCATCTTTCAATAAAATTCTCTTACCAGCTTCACATCGAGAACCTGTAAAACCAGGTCTAAATAAATAATAATAGTTAAATATATAATGAATAAAACTAAAATCATAAAACAAAATAAACTTACTTGCATAAACAATAAGCAAATATTGATGATGCTGGTGAATGTTCATAACAAGTTCCGCCATTATAGCATTTACTTGATGAACATCTTGGTGCAACTTATTTCATAAATAAATTTATTTATGTAATTTTAAAAAGAAATCATAATAAAAATTTAAAAAAAGAACATACCTGTTCGTCGTTCACAATAATCACCATGAAAACCCAATAGACTATTCGAATAGAAATTTATTTAAAAAAAAAAGGAAAACATAAACTATATAATAAATACATACCACCAACATGTAGCGTAAGTCGGAGATAGAATATTACAACTAAAATATAGTAAAAAAATAATAAAAATAAAATCAATTATTTAAACTAACACGCCGCCATTACGACATGTAATATCTCGACAAAGATCAGGACCTAAATAATAGATAAATTTCTTTGTTTTTCTTTTTCTATTATGTTTTAAAATTTCAAGTTTACTTCGTGCTATTTCACATCGTGTCCCCGAAAAACCACTTGGACATGTACATGTACCCAATATTGGATTACATACACCATCATTTAAACATCCAGTAGAACAAAATGTAACTTAAATAGAAACTCTTTATCAAATTTTTCATTTTTGCTTTCATCTATTTACATACCAACACCTGTATCTATATTTGATGTACATCTATCTGCAATATTGCCATCAGAACATATACATCCAAATGTTGAATCAATTACAATACAAATACCATCATCACCACAAAATGAGTGTTCACAAACAGCAATTAAACGACGAGCTAGAAATAAATCATTTGAAGAAAAAAAAACATCATGCAACATCAAATAACAGACCGTGAATATTAATCGATGTAATATTAGTCTCATATTCACTATCATTCTCTACATCAGTACACGTTGAATTTGTATATGTATCATTTGGACAGGCACAAATTTCCGGCATATTTGGTATTTTTGTGTTAATACATCGTCCACCATTATCTCCACAATCCAATGAACACTCTGAATATAAAATCAAATTGATTTTTTTATTTGCTTTTTTTTTTTTCTATCTTTTACATACTTCCATGAAGATATGGGCAGATCATTAATATGATAAATATGAATATTAGCTGATAATTTAAAAATTTCGATGACATTTCGTTTTGATTAGTTTTTTTTCAAACTGCTATGTATGACAAATTTTGCCTTCTGAATTTAACTGAAAAAAATATATACCATATTTTTTATTATTGTACTCCACCTACATAAATATGATATGATTATTCAAGGTTGAACGAATTTCTTTTCAATAACATCATAGTAGACAAAATGAACAAATATGTTCTTTCCTTGTTAACTTCAATATAACAACACACAAATATCACCTTCAACAACGATTTGTAATTTCAGACTATCAAGGATAATGGCAATATACTTTCAATGATGATAATATTTTAATCCTGTTTATATTATTTCTCCTTCTTCATTTTTTTTTTTTTTATTTTAGATATTAGGACATGGAACAGAACTGGCATGATCACAAGACATTTTATTGAAATTAAATCGCAGTCCTTTTGGACAAGTGCCAGGAATGAGACGATCTTAAAAGAAAAGCAGAAATAAATATTAATAAAATTTACTAGATGTTGTTTTTACTTGTATAATCACAAAGAAAATATGAACCTTGAGCACATTGATATAGATCAGTAAAAGTACCTGGTCGTGTACAACGAAAATATTCTACAACAAAGAAAAAATATAAATAAAAATATTGTCAATATATTTCATTGATAATAACCTGTCTCACAGAATCTTCCAGTAAATCCTGGTGGACAAAGACAATAAGCAAAAATACTCATTGCAGGTGAATGTTCATAACATATTGCACCATTTTGACATTGAATTTCAGTACAACGTGAAGCAGCTATGATTTTATTTTCAAAGAAAATAAAACGATATTTATTACATTCTAAAATATTTTAATCTAACCTCTTTGTCGTTCACAATAATTACCATGAAAACCTATAATAAATTCATTCTTCTAATAATCTCTACAATACTTTGAATTTGTTTCTTTTTTTTTACCTAACAAACACCAACAAGTCGAAACAGTTGGTGAGATTATATTGCATACACCGGAATTTTTGCATACGACATTATTACATAAAGTAGTGGCTAAAGTGTACAAAATTAATACGAAATAACAAATTTTTTGAATCATACATTCTAATTTTTCACATTGTTGACCAACAAAACCTGACGGACAAATACATAAGCCTGTATTTGGATCACAAATACCTTGATTATAACATCCACATGCTTTTGAAACTATAGATCTACTATTATTAACACCTTTATAATTAAATAAATTATTTATATTTAATATTTAAATTAATCTTTTTTTTTTATTTATTCATTCTTACTTTGGCCTGAAATAAAATTAATGAATAAATTGCAAATAATAAACAACAATAACAATGGTCTTAAAATATTATTAAGAAGCAAAAAAAAAAAAGCAGTAAAACAGTAAAAGTTTATATCATTATAAAAATTACTTACAAAGACAATAGCATATCTTTGAAGAAAAATTAATTTCAAAATGTACTGTTTTTTCCTTATTCATGTTGTCGTTTTTATAGTTAATTTTTTATGCGTCATAAAGTGTAGGCAATTTTAGGATCAAATTTCTGTCGGACTAAAAAACACAAAAACATACTGTCTTTTGTCAATATTATTTGACTCAGAAAAACAAAACGTATTTAATGAAAAATATGATTATTAAATAGAGATACTTCTTTTTCCAGAAGGTTTTAAAAGATTATATGATCGAATATATATATATATATAATTGTTTTTCTTTTCTTTTGCATTTATTACTTATAATTAATTATTTATTAATCTTTATTATGAGTCAATTTATTTGTTTCTATATATTGATTTTTTTGTTTTTGTATTCAATAAATCGAATAAATTATAAATTTATTATTAAATAATGATAAAACTATTGTACTACAAAACATGTATAAAATAATATATACATTAGAGAATTACATCATTGTTTTTGTTTTCGAAAATAATAATGACGTCAGATAACCTCGAATGAAATAACTTCACAGTTTATTTCATTCGAACAAAAGCAATCGAAGTATATAGCAGTAACATATTCTTTTTCACTTCTTTGACGGACTATTCAGTTTGTAAACAAAACACACTTTACTTCTTTTCTTATAATCGAGGTAGAATTTATTTCATGCGCTTTTTTCTCTCTCTCTCTCTCTCTTTATCTATATATCATTATGTTAAGATCTGTAGCAAAGAAAGGCAATCGAGGTCAATTTTACTAATTCTAGAGAAATTTAAAGAGAGAGAGAGAGTGAGTGATATCACCCCCCCCCCCCCCCTCCTCTAGTCGAATCTAGAAAAGTTATGTTAGTGCCGTTGTTCAGCTTCACTTTGCACAACAACGCGGTCTATATCGGACGCAAACGTACACATTATACAAAAAAAAAGAAAATAAGAGAGAAGAGACAATTTGTTTATCGTCACTTTTATGCGTATTATCGACGTCGACGTCGGTCTTCTATTGAACCCCAAGATGAAACAGGTTGAATTGTGTTAAATTTTTGTTTTTCTAATTAAAAACTTAAAATTATATGCATAATGTAGGTTCATTTGAAACTGCTTTTATGTCTTCTATTGGCTATTGGTGCCACTGGACAATATAATCCTGGTAATATTCGATTATCTTCTTTATTTTTAAGGTCAAATCTTTCTATTGTTTATTTTTATTTTCAGTCAATCCATGGGGCCTAAATTTGAATCCACAGCAACTTGCTCTTGGACAACCAGTTATGGGTGATTGGAATGGTTTTTCAGGTATTGGACCCTTTCGACAATTTGGGCAACAACCAGCTGTTGTACCACAATTTGGTGTTGGTTTTGGACAACCTAATGCTGCTCAACAAATCTATCAACCGACTTTAGTACAAGAGACAAAAGTTGCTGATACTGGGTGAGTTTTTATTTATTTAAGAAAAAAAAACAAAACAAAATGAACTGACTTTTTCTGTATTAGATTAACTAGTGGTATTGCACAACAAGGTTTAATTCCATCTGAATCTGCTGTTGCTACTACTGAAAATCGTGATGTTAAACAAGATGTATGCTATAATATTATTGATTCAGTTTATCCATTATTCTCAATGTATTGCTCGGTATTACCACAAACAGCATTTTCATTACCAAACTTTTTTGGTCATCAAACAAAACAAGAAGCACATGAATTATTTATTACATTAGAACCAGCAATATACTCTAGATGTTCTGCATATGTGCGTCTCTTTTTATGTCCATTATTTTTTCCACCATGTAATGTTGAACCAATACTTCCATGTGCTAACTTCTGTAGAGGTAAGAATATTTATTTTAATGTATTATAATTTCGATAAATTAATTTGTTTTTTTGCTAATAGCTATACAACATAGATGTGGTGATTATGGTCTTTCATCAATTAATTGTGATAGACTTCCAGAAACATCAGAATTTTGTCCAAGTAAATATTGTTTAATTATTGATAAATACTTGAATAATTTTTCATTGTTTAGCAATTATTGGACCAAATCGTTTGATCTATGGTGACTATAAATTTCATCAATCTACATCACACAAAAAGCACAACACACAACAGCCTGATTCAAACTATTATTCCGATTCATCTTCGTTAGTTGGATCACCATCAACATCTGATAGTTCCAATAATAAAGCTGGTCAAACAGAAACTAAAACTGATTTATATTATGGAGAAAAAATTTCAGGTGTTGGTTCTGATTAGTATGTAGTATTTTTTGTTTCTCTTTGATAAGCACTCTTTGTTTCTCTTTTATAGTTCCATTGTCAACGTTAAACCAGTTCAAGCTCAAAACGTAATGCCCGACACACCTGATCTTTCGAAAACAAATACTGATGGTTCAATCAATCAACAATGGACCGGTGAAGGTTCATCAGGTGCATCATCATCTACTGGTGGATCTTTCCGTGCAACTGAGAACCTTATAAGATCTGGCGGTTCAAGTTCCGAATCAAATAGTCTTGGATCAGGACAAGGCAGCTCGATTGATCATATCTACTATGGTGCACCGACTTATATTCCAAACAGTAACTTTAGATTACCATATGGCAACAATGAGAACTATCGTAGTGGATCATCAGATACTGATATCATGAAATCTGTCGACTCATCATTATACGACAGGAATAACAATAACGGCGGTGCATCATCCAATAGTGATGCCACAAAATATACTGACTACTCATTCGTTAACAATAAAAACTACGTGGGTGGATTATCCGATAGTAGTAAGACTGCATCGGCTGACTCATCATTGTTCGGTAGAAATGACAACTCTGGTGATGAATCAGGATCCATTAGAAATTTCATGAAGCCTGTTGGATCAACATCTAACGGTGGTGAATCATCCTCTGGTGATAGTGTGACATCTGTTGACTCATCATTTTACAGGAACAATGAGCAATATGGTGGTGGATCATCCTATGGTGATACTATCAAATCTTCTGGATCATTACAAGGCAGCAGCATGAAATCTGGTGGCTCATCATCATCACAAGACAGCAGCATGAAATCTGGTGGCTCATCATCATCACAAGACAGCAGCATGAAATCTGGTGGCTCATCATCAATACAAGGCAGCAGCATGAGATCTGGTGGCTCATCATCACAAGACAGCAGCATGAAATCTGGTGGCTCATCATCATTACAAGGCAGCAGCATCAGATCTGGTGGCTCATCATCATCACAAGACAGCAGCATGAAATCTGGTGGCTCATCATCATTACAAGGCAGCAGCATCAGATCTGGTGGCTCATCATCATCACAAGACAGCAGCATGAGATCTGGTGGTTCATCATCATCACAAGGCAGCATCATGAAACCTGGTGGCTCATCATCATTACAAGGCAACACTATGCAATCTGTTGACTCATCATCATCTGTTGGTAACAATAACAACTATGGTGGTAGATCATCATCAACTGGCAATGCCTTCAAGTCTGTTGGATCAACATCTCATAGCAGCAGTGGTAGTCACGGTGGTGCATCATACGGCAGAAGTGGTAGTTATGGCTCAATTAATACACTTGAACAAACTGGTCTACCTTATGGTATTCAATCAACAGCCGATTATCCTACTTATTATTTAGAAAAACTTGATCTATCTAAGTGTGGACCTCGTAAGACCTTTTGAACTATTGAAACTCATTATGATTTTGTTTTCTGTATTCTTATTCTAGAACCACCGCCGAAAAATCCATGTACAATGGATGGTCCACAACTTCATCCAATACCTGGCTATCCACATTGTTACATTCAATGTGCACTTGAAAAAATGTTTGTCAAACCATGTCCACCTGATCTTGTTTGGAATCCACTCATACCGGTTTGTGATTGGCCCACAGTTCATTATTCAGGTGATGGTAATAATTATGACTCTTCGTCCTATGGTACTAACACATATCAAAGTGGTTCATCTTATTCATATGGACGAAAAAAACGTTCGACAATTGAACGCAAGAAACTATTCAGAACTGGTAATCCATTCCCTTCTCTAACAAAGATGAATGTACCGTTAGGTAAATGATTTGATTTTTGTTTGATATTGAATTTAGTTTTATCTCGAACTTGTATTTTTCTGTTAGGTCCATCTGTTCCAGGTGTTGTTCCATTACCAGGTTTTACCGGTCCTATTGGGATTGCAGGTCCACTTGTTCCACCACCAACTCCGTAAGCTATTTCTATCTCATCGATTTAGATGTATATAAATTTATACATATTTATTTTATCTACTTTTAGTCCAGCTCCAGCTGCACCATCAATGTTTCATCAAATCGTTCCACGAATGTATCCTATAATGCTTCCGCCCTATCTACCAATGCCGTACGTCATAAACTTTAACTTCAATATATGTATTTCTTTTTTATACTTTGTAGATCTCCAATGTTTCCACAACAAGTCGCTGTACCACAGATGCCTCAGCCAATGTTTCCACAAGCAGCAGTGCCTCAGCTAGTGTTTGTACAACCAACAGTACCTCAACCAATGTTTCCACAACCAACAGTACCTCAACCAATGGTTCCACAACAAACAGTATCTCAACGAATGTTTCCACAACCAGTAGTGCCTCAGCTAGTGTTTCCACAACCAACAGTACCTCAACTAATGTTTCCGCAACCAACAATACCTCAAGTAATGTTGCCACAACCAACAGTACCTCAGCTAATGTTTCAACCATCACAACCACCTCCTTCAACACCTACACTTCCACCTTTCATGCCTCCTATTTTTCCATCTCTCCCAATACCACTTAACGGACCATTGCTTCCACCTCTTCCTATGAAAATACCAGCTACATTCAGTAAGTTTGTAAAATTGTATCTCATCTTATTTTTTACTTGATTTCCTCATAGTTCCTGGTCCACCACCTATATTTGGTGCTCCATGGTTTGGGCCTTTTGATCAACCTGCAGAATCTGCTCGCGCACCTGTTGGACAGCCATTTGGCTTTGGGTAAGATCGCTGTCTATACAAATTCTTCATGAAATAGCTTATACTATTTCAATTATATCAAAAAAGAACGAATTATATTTCTTTGTAGTTTCGGTGGTGGATTTCCATTTGCTCCCAATTTCTATGGTGGTTTTCAGCAACAATTGCCATTTCCCTATAATTATTATAGTTTCAAGAAACAGTAAATAATTCTATTCAATTAAGAAATACTTCTTTTTATAAAACAATTCTCTCCTGTTTATATTAGCGGAGATAAAGGTGGTAACAAAAATGACTATGATGAAGACAATGACTATGATGCCTATGATGATGAAAAATCACTTTCGTAAGTTATTTGATATTTCAAATTGTCTTTATTTTATTTTATTTTTTTGACTTCTAGTTCTGATGATGATGCTTCTGACAATTCAAAACCAACGAAACATCTCAAGTTCGTCAAAAACAAAAAAAAATATTTTTTTGAGAAAAAAATATATTCTTCTTTGCTTTTTCTTTTCATAGAAATAGTAAGGCGCAAAATGATGATCGTTTAAAGCGTAAAAAACGTGAATATGACTTGAATAATGATCAAGATACATCATTGTCCGTAACAAACGAACAACAACCATCCTTTAATTCAATTAATCAACCATTAAATCAAGGTATAATATTATTGAAATGTTTTTGCATTTTTTTCTTGTTTCATTTAAATTAAATTTTGTTTTAGAATCACTTTGTATTGGTAAAACTATGAAAACTAATATTCCACATCCAACAGATACAACAAAATATATTTCATGTTTAAATGAAAATAAATATGAAATAATGGATTGTCCAACAGATTTTATTTATAATGCCTTAATTGATCAATGTGAAATAAATAAAAATACTGAAACTATTTGTGAACAACAAAATCCATGTATGAATGATGGTCAATGTTATCCAACAAGTTCAACAACATATAAATGTATATGTCAAGGAGCTTGGACAGGTGAACGTTGTGAAACACCATTATCATCATGTGCATTGAATCCATGTGGTGAAGGAAATGAATGTCATTCATTAATAACAAGTGATCATAAACAAGATTATATTTGTATTTGTAATAAACAACAATCTTATGGTTTAACTTGTGCACGAAGTACGTTTTTTTTGAATTAAATTTATTATTAAAATTCAAAAATAAAATTCTTTTTGTTCTTTTAAATTTAGATACTGTACCAAATCCATGTATGGGTGTATCAACTGATGAAGAACAATATTATCCATTTGCATTTAGTGTTCATGCTTTTATACAATGTGATGGTGATTTACTTCATATTCGACCATGTGCAGCTGGTTTATATTGGAATCAAGAAAATAAAATATGTGATCGAGAAGAAACATCACCAACACGTTCAATTGAAGATCAATCTCAATCATATCAAATAAATTATAATACACAACAATTAGATCCAACATATAATCGTCCATCAGCTAATTCTATTGATCAAATTGTTGATAAACAACAAGGTTATCGTTATCGAAATTATAATCCATATACAACATCAAATTATTTAAGGTAAGAAATAATATGTTATAAATTTAATTTATACATATATTTTTTTTTCCTATTATTATAAGATACAATCAAATTCATATGCCTAAAGACACACCAATGGTTTATTCATATTTTCCACCATTACCAATGATAAAAGATAATCGTCGTTTTAAAAATCAACATGACTATAATCCAGTTGATATGCATGTAATAATAGAAGATCAAAAACCAATGCTTTCTGATGAACAATTTAGTCAATCATATAATCAATTACCAACAAGTAAAAATTTTATTTATGAACGAACGTATAAAAACAAAAATTGTTTTGCTTTAGATTCATTCATGCAATCAACACCACAACGAAATATGTTTCGTGTTTTTCAACCATCATCATCACGAATTATCAATAGTTTGAATACACAATCAACATCATCATCTTATCGTCGATAGAGAGAAAAAAGAAAATTTTTCTAAATGCTACTGATATACAATCCATCTATGTCGACGTTGTTGATTTTGTCTTTTTTTTTTTGCCTCCTGGATTAATCATTTTTTCTACATACTCATGTAATTTCTTACGTGTGAGTGTGGGATTTGTTTCCATATTTAAACTGTCTTAATCTCATTCTACTTTTTTTTTCTTATAGCTTGATTCGTCCATTTTTCGTCTTATTCTCTTTTTATTTCTATATGTTGATCAATCAGATGGACTGAATGTTTGACCATAGGAAAAAAAAATAAAACATGTGAATTCTATTTTGCATTTACTTCAGGATCCTTTCACTAATGTTATTGAACATTTTTTTAAAATAGAAATGATATAATTGTTTGATTAAGAGAGACAGAGAGAGAGAGAGGAAGACTCAAAAATTGCATTGCAAGATTTATACTTAATATCTTATTTACACCTACGACCATAATGAGATAAAAGTAGGTAAAGAATGTAATCTCGAAAAAAGAGATCAAGTTGTCTATTTATTTCAAGAAAAAAGCAATCACAAAAGAGTTTTTTTTTTTTTATAAAAGATTTTCACAAGGATAAAAATTACTATTTTTTATATTTTTTACAATTTTTTGCTGTAGCAACAATTAAGGCGCATATTACAGTCGTACTCTTTGAAGAAACATACTGACATAAATCCGTATGTACAATACGATGATTATGGCATAATATTTTATTCAGGTATTCTCTATTAGAGCAGCAATTTAAAACTGCAGGAGGGTGACTGTCTAATGTTTTTTTTTGGAATGTAGAAACACTCTATGTGCTACAATAACCGCCAACTCCGGGAGGGCTAATCCGAACTTTGAAGGAGTGTCGTTCTTCAGAACTCATGCTGGAAAAAAAGTACTAATATAAAGGATACCAAGTTTTTTCAGTTGGATCGATGATTAATCATGCGATGAAAAGCTTCTCTTTTTCGGATGTTCGTATTTAGTACAAAAAAAAAACGTTTGGCACATTAGTAAAAGTGTAAGTTTTAGATGAATAGTATATAAAAACATCTGTTTTTATGTGTAAGAAATATAGATCCATCGAAAGGTAACTATGATATCAGTTTTATTCTTGTTGAGTTTTCAAGTTCAGTTAAGAGTGTTAAACAATATGGCTGGAGTAACTATGCTTATTTTGATTATTTGATAGAGTCTGCCGAATTTTACTATGCTAATTGTTTAAAAAAATTCTTGTGTTATTGTCAACAATACTATTTTGGTTAATATAATGTTTGTTTTCAGATTTATGCGTTCATTTTGGTTTTTAGGTAGTTGATTAAATGAAATTGAAAATAATCATTAGTTCATTCTTTTAATGAATTAAATAGCTAAGAAGAATAAAATGCTTTTTTTGAGAAACAAATAATGTTTTTATACTTTTCAATGACTAAACAACATTGTAGAATTGATCAGAAAATTCTTGTGACTTGTAATAGTACATATACTAAAATGACAAACAAATATCATTTGTATTACAGATAAAATTGTTCGTTTCGAGTAGCTAGTCGAAATTCAACATAAGTATATCAAATAGATGGTTTTTAACATATTGTTTTAGAGATTGTAATCATTAATTTGTGTTCTGACATCATTTGTTTTAGACATAAGAAGTTAAACAAATTTTCCAGTTTATTGAGATTAAGTTGAGCAAATAATCAACTCTATTCAAATTCTCCATAAATGAAAGAAAAGACGTCATCTGTTGCCATTTATAAAATTATGACATTCTTTTTTGTACTAACTAGTACATGAGTGTTTTCTCTTATTGTCTGTCTCGATTAACAATGTGCAAATAAAAGTCATTATGTTCCTAAAAATGATGAACTTTAATTTCTTTTTATTCTATGAAGAATTGCAGTGCTTTTGTTCATCATTTAGATTCTAAAATTGAAATTAATATTTAAAAAAAAATCTTTCTTTTTTAGTAATTTTCTTGCTCAAGGTCATTTCTATAAAAGGAATGTATTTTCAATTTACATATACATATATATATATAGACATAATCTCTTGATGAATATTTCTAAAGAGGTTTTATATCTTAGAAATTAAACTGCATGAATTTATCTTAGATGATAAATCATTTTTTTAGTATGATGAACAAAAAGATATTTCAATATTTTATGTTTACTAATTACTCATTAACTACTGTTGTTGGTAATAAATCATTAAAATAAGAAATAGACATGTTTTTTTTCATAGATAACAAATGTATGACAAAAATACAAATAGTCTTGCCCTTTTTTTACATCAATGAGCCTATTGTCTTTTCGGTTGAATTACAAGAGTTATCAGTCTCCGGTTTTCATTGGAACTTTCGTGTTAGTTCCTTCCGCTATCATGATTGAAGTATGTACTTTTCTGACATGTCGCTTCTTCTAATCTGTCTTATAATCGATATATATATATAAATATGAGATGTTGTCCAATTGTTTATCATTCATTTTAATATTTTTTGAAATAGAAAAAAACATATATATCCATTATTTTCTTTTAGATCTAAACAAAAAATATATTAAAAGACTTATTTACATTCGATAACTCAATAGTTGAAATATCGATTGAAGCATTTCGAAAGGTAAATTATTTCTCTTGTACTTGTATTTTTATGCTTACATAAGCAGTCTCTCACATAACCGTAAGAACATAAAGGACATGTTTTTGGGTTTCTTTGAAATATTTAGTATAGAATGAATCAATAAATAAAAAACGAAAAAAATCTCGGAAAAGACTCATATTTTGTCATGTTCTTTACAGGCATAATAATTACATCTGTTGTGTGAAAAAGATACAATTGATCATTCATATAATTCGATAATTTGTTAAAACCGAATAACTTTATACATATTATCAATATGACCGTTGTTCATGGTAATGAATGTATTAACAATAAAATAACAACTATAGAAAATGATTATTTTCCAAATAATAATTTCGAAGAAGATGTTGAAACTGCAAGATTAAAATCAAATGAATATGATGATCAGAGATGTAAGTGTGCTTGGTTTCGGTTTTTCGTCATATATATGAATATCATGCATTCTTTTCCTTTCATGCTTTGCTATTGCTCTTTCTATAATTAACTCTACGTGCCAATCTAACATGTGCGTCTTTCCTCCTCTTCTTCTACTGATTGTTATGTAACGCTTACTTCGTACGAGGACATATGAGAATATTTTCGTGAATGTGCTTCGTCATGGACTACCAATACGATATGTACTTTTTCAAAGACATACTCTTCTGTTGTCAATATGTCTTACCATCAATATATTTCGTTTTTCATATCATACTTTGAGATTTATGATAATGCCCCTCAGTACGTATGATAGTGATGCGCAAGGTACATAGTTAATAAGGACGAGAAAAGAAAAAGTTTGTCATGTAAAGAAAGGTTTTTGTAAGATAAGAACTTTTTCTTTTCATACTTATTGCAGTACAAAACGACGCACCAGACTCATCATTAGAAATGTTATCATTCAATCCGTGTCGAACAAATTGTAAATGTTCGATATGCTTTATAATTAGTGTTATTGGTTTAATTATGGGAGTTGTTATGATAATTTTACTTGATCCACTTGTGAACAAAATATTGGCAAATGTTAGTTGCAACTTTTTTTTTTTTGTTCAATTGATTTTTAACAAAAAAAATTCATTTTGTAGAAAATGGCCATTATACAAGGTCGAGAAGGTCATCGATTTTGGAAAAATCCACCAGCTAATATACATCGAAAAATGTACATATGGCATTGTACCAATCCTATTGACGTACAAAATGGTGGCATCCCAGAATTGGTGGAGCGCGGACCTTATGTTTATCGGTACAGTATATATGAATTTAATTAAAAATCGAATGAAAGTTTTTATTTAGAGAAGAATGGAATCGATCAAATATTGCATATAGTGATGATTTAGATACACTTTCTTACATTCCATTAACGACACTTTATTTTGATCGAAACCAATCGATTGGTCCTGATGATGAATATGTAACTGTTATTAATGTACCATTAATGGTAAGATTTTTTTGACAATTTTTTCTATAATTAATTTTTTTCGATAGGCTATGGCACATGAAGTTCAATTTTATACTCCAGGAATGCAAGAAACTATTAATTTTTTTATTGAATTATTAGAAACAAAACTATTTGTTAATGTTACTGTTAAACAATTAATGGAAGGTAAAAAGAAAATTAAAAGTTTTTTTTGTTTTTGTTTGTTTAACATAAAATTTTTATTTTAATTCATTAGGTTACACCGACCCATTAATTGAAACAGCTAGTAAAATAAAACCCGGTGTATTAAAGGACAATAAATTTGGAATATTACAAGCTGTAATATAAATAATTGATTTTTTTTCATTAAAGTTTATTAATATTTCATTTAGAGAAATAATTCATATTATCAAAATTTTACTATTAAAACTGGCATTAATGATATAACTCAAGTAGCAAAAGTTGTTACATTCAATGGTGTTCAGTAAGAATAGTTTTATATATGAGAAAAAAATCTAAACGATTTACTCACTCCTTTTTTTTTTTTTATTCAGAACATTAAATTATTGGTCTACACCTCAAGCAAATATGCTCAATGGAACAGGTAAATTGCTTTTTTTAATTTTAAAATTGATTTTCTGTAAGAAAAAATTTAGATGGATCTTTATTTCCACCAAATTTACATAAAGATAAAGAAGTTTATTCATATAGTGCTGATATGTGTCGGTAAGAAATCAGTAAAATAATTATTATCTATAAATATTAAAAATAAAATATTTATTAGATCATATTATTTATCATTTTTACGTGAAAGAAAAGATGGCTATGTAACACTATATGATTTTCATTTATCATCAAATGTATTTAATATGTCTCGGGAAGAAAATCATGGTTTTTGTGGTCATGGTTCATGTTTAGGTGATGGTGTGCTTAATATCAGTACTTGCTATTTAGGTATATAAATAATTATTAACGTTAAAAAATTAATTTTCCCTTTTTTCAATGCATCGTAGGAGTATGGGGGTTTATATCTTCCCCGCATTTTTTTCAATCCGATATTAAATTTCGTGAAGATGTTCATGGAATGGAACCAGATAAAAATAAACACGAATTTATAATGAGTTTTGATCCGGTATTTAGATTAAATAAGACTAAAAAATTCATTATGCTATAAATATTTTTTTATTTTAATAGGTAACTAGCGTGCCATTTGCAGTTAATGTTCGATTACAATTGAGTTTTTATATGCCAAATATTAAAAGACTTCGGTTTGTAATTCTTTTGTCCTTTTTTTGAACACCATTTAGAAGAAAAATTTATTCATTTAGTTTATTAGAATCTGTAAAACCAATCATAATACCAATTGTTTGGTTTGATGATGAAGCACGTCTGATACCTGAAATTCATTCGGAATTATCGCTATTATTGGTATCATTAAAAGCTGCTTCGTATATTAAATTTATTTTACCATCAATTAGTCTTTTATTTCTTTCACTGACTTCTTTATTTATATATTTTCAAGTATGATTTTATTTTGTTTTCTTAATATTTCTTATGTCTAAATGAATGATTGTTTTTCTAGTGGCGACGTACTCGACGTGAACTTGTGAATTCCAAAATACCTCTACTTAATGGAAGTGGTGAAATTTAAAACGAAGGAATACAAAAAAAAAATGTTGTGATTTGTTTTCTGTAAAATTCTCTATGACTATTTTTTGTTGACTTATGAGGTATTCCTTATCTAGTCACGTTTATTTTTTTGTTTCTAATTATATTTTATGTTACCTGAAAAAATATTATATTGTAAAAAGATGTTAATGTAAGAAAAAATATATGAAAAAACTTTATCTATTTGAATATTATCTAAAATTATCATTGAAATTTTGTCAATATATTCTAAAAGATACGTCTGCCATCTTTCAGAATAATTCAATTTGTTTCCACAATCAATCTCAAAACAACCAATCAATATTTCTCATTCAGCTGATAATTCGAATATTGAGATTTTACAAAACTCTTCTTGTTCATTTTCTTGGTTTCGATCTTTTTTTCAAATCATTGTGTTATATATTCAAACATGGCAGCTACAGCTGCTGCTGCTGTTCTATCAAGTGGTCGTTTCTATGCACTAATTGGTTTTGAAATTCACGTTAAACTTGCTACACGTTCAAAAATGTTTTCACCTTCATCATCAGCTCCGGCTCAGACAACAAATAGTCAAGTAACACCATTTGATATGGCTTTACCAGGTTCATTACCATATTTTAATCGTGCTTGTCTTGAAGCTGGAGTACGAGCAGCTATTGGTCTTAATTGTCAACTAAATAAAATTTCACATTTTGAACGTAAACATTATTTTTATCCTGATTCACCAGCGGGCTATCAAATAACTCAACAAAGATATCCATTTGCATCGAATGGTGTTTTTCATTTTCCATTATTAGTTAAAAAAGATAAACTTAAATCGTCAACAAAACATAAAGTACTTAAAACAAAAACTAAATAAATAAATAAAATATTTGTATTAAATATATATATATATATATTTTAGTTTGTTGATAATCAAAATTCATTTGTGATAAAACAATGTCGTATAGAACGTATTCAACTAGAACATGATACTGGTCGTAGTATTCATGATGATAGTCAAAATCGTACATTAATTGATTTAAATCGTTTTGGTACAGGTCTTATTGAAATAGTTACTAAACCTGATATACAATCAAGTCTTGAAGGTGAATCATTTTTACGTGAATTAAATCGTCTTTTAATTAAGTATAATATATGTGAACAAAGTGGTCTTGAAACAGCTGTACGTGTTGATGCTAATGTTAGTTTACATCGTATTGATACAAAACCAGATGGTAATCGTATCGAAATAAAAAATCTTGGAAGTTTTATTGATGTACGACAAGCAATTGATTTTGAAATCAAACGACAAGAACAATTATTAACAAATAATTATTCTATTAAAAATGAAACACGTACATATGATACAAATAAACATCAAACAATACATTTAAGACGTAAAGAAGATCAAATTGATTATCGTTTTATGATTGAACCAAATTTACCACCATTATATTTATATGATAATAATGATAAACAGATATATGGAAAAAATTTTGTTAATATTGATGATATTAAAAGAGATTTACCCATGTCACCATTAGATGAAAGAAAAGAATATTTAGATAAATATAAAGATTTTTTAACAGCTGAACATTTACATGAATTACTTCGACTTGATATGATTGTAAGTTTTCATATTGAAATGTTATAGAAAAAACAAAAGAATAAGAATAGTTTTTAAACAAAAAGTTTTTATTGAAATTTTAAACTAAATGAGAATATTTATTAATTTGATTCTTTTACAATTTTATATAATCAAAAATCTTTGTAAATAGATTTAAAGTATCAAATACTTTTAAAAGTCAAATTTATCAGTTCTTTCATGCCTTTCGAGGTCAAGAAATAGAGACCGTTTCTAACCGAAATAAATGCGAAAACCTCGGATTTAAATCCGAGTGTTATGTGTACTTCAAAAAGTGAAAAGGCATATTCACTGTGTTTTTTATCACTAAATTGCAAGGAGAAAACACAGACGTGCTAAGTTAGCATGGACCATACTGTATGCGACCCTATCCGGTGACCACTGAGTGATATAATATCTTTAGAAATCANTTTGAGTATTTATAATTTTGATTAAAAGAATTTAAAAAGCTCAAGAAAATAAAGAATTTTCTAAAAAAAATTAATCAGTTTTTATTAATATTAACAAATTTTGTCTGTAAAACAAGTTGTCGACAAAGTGTATATGTCGGCAAAACAATTTGTCGGCAAAGTGGTGTCGGCAAAGTGATGCGTCGGCAAAGTTATTTTCGGCAAAGTGATGCGTCGGCAAAATTATTTTCGGCAAAGTGATGCGTCGGCAAAGTTATTTTCGGCAAAGTGATGCGTCGGCAAAATTATTTTCGGCAAAGTGATGCGTCGGCAAAGTTATTTTCGGCAAAGTGATACGGACCCTCTACACAGACTATCATTAACATACAATAATTTAAAAATTTTTTCTACATGTGTGTTGGATATATTAGTATCCATGATGAAGTTTCTTAAATATATTTAATGTTCGAAGTATTTAAATCTATAGAGGAAGAATATTTTTTGAAAAAAAAAAAAAATGAGAGAAGGCCTATTGTTTTTATATGCATTTGATTATAACTTGAGAAGTAATTTTAATATACAAATTTTGTCAAAATACAAGGCCTATAAAATAATTTTCTTTTGACACATAGTTTGTAAGAAAAAAATTCAATTAACAATAATTGAGAAATACTTGACAACAAAAAGAAATAATTTATAATTTTAAATTATCGGATTGATACAAGACGCAGAAAAAAAACCATCAAAAACGAAATTATCGTTTTTATTATCTAAAGTCATTTATTGTAAACTCAAAGATGAGAATCTTCTCTCTACATTCACTTTTATCTTGGCCCCTCTCATCCTAATTTTTCAATATATTCCTTTTCGAATTTTTTCTGCTTTTTCTGCATTTTTCATCGAATTCTTAGATATTTTCGGAATGATCTTTTGAAAAAATGTATATAGATAAATATCCATTGTTTTTTGTTTCTAATTTTTATTTTCTAAATAGGATTATTTCCGTGATGTTATGAGTCAACTTGATAATAATCATCTTCGTCATATTGCATTAGAAGTTTTATTAAGTGATGTTAAATCAATATCATACGATGGACGTAAAATTCGTAAATTTGCTCAAGCTGTATCACCAACATTATTTTCTGATATAATAAAACATTTAGAAAAACGTATCATAACACGTTTTTCACTTTATACATTATTAACATTATGTAATAAAAGTCGTGATTCAACACGATCATTAAAATCATTTCTTGATGAACACAATATGTATGCAATTAATGATGAAAATGAATTAGAAAAAATTTGTTTAAAACTTCTTGAAGAAAATCCTAAACAAATTGATCGATATAAAACCAATCCAAAAAAAGCACTTGAACAATTACATTCAAGTATGTGTAAGAAATATCATGGTCGTATACATGATGATTTAGTTAATGATTTATTTAAACGTTTATTAGATAAAAAAACAAAATAAATAAATTAAAATTAGATTTATTATTTCTTTTTTTGTTTGTTTGTTTTTTGATTTTAGATTTTTTTTAAAAATGTTTATTCGATTAAATTGTTTTCGAATTATTTTTCAACGTTGTCATTCAACAAAGCCTACACCACATCAACAAGCTATGATGGCACGTGGTTTACCAAAACGAACACCAATTGAAGGTGTTCAACATATTATTGCTGTTGGTTCAGGCAAAGGTATATGCAACTTATTTCATTCATTCGATGAGGTAATTTTCATATGAATTCGAGTTTATATCTATTAATTATAAAAATCTTTCTTTAGTCTTCAGTTATATATTTAGTAAAGTAATTTCGAACAGAATTATTTATCGAAAAAACAAAAGTTTAGTTGATTATAACTTTGATGATGAATGGATCGGAAGAAAAAAGAAATTATGATTAAGAAATTCTATAAGATCTTCTGAAAAAATGAAAAATAAAAATTCAGTTTAAGATGATCACTTAATTTTAATTACAATTGCATGATAACTTTTCTGTTTGACATTGCACAAAAACAAATGGTCCATTCTCATAAGAGAAGTAAAGATCGGCGGTAGTAGTTGAAAGTTTTAGCAGATTTTCCAATTTGGGAAAAATCGAAAATAATAGCGGAGAACCTATTCATATAAAAAAAATTGATAAAAGACAGATATGATAATAAAGTTCTGAAATAAAAATTTTAGTCATAACTGATATAGGGATGTACAGTTTGAATTTATTAACTACTGACATCACCAACTCAATGTAATTAATACACACTGACACACGGGCATCAATATTCACAGAAGTTTTGAAATACATGACTTCAGAAAAAGACATATTATAATAGCTTTTGGTGTCTCAACGTTTCAGCAAACGTGGATGTCAGTGTAGTCCATTGCTTTAGTAGATCTTATGTCAATGAAACTCTATTCAAAATTTATCGTAATCTGAACTTTGATTGAAAATAAAAATGTCTAAGGGTTAAATGTAAGTATGTGTCTGAATGTACGTGAAGAATAGAGCAACAATCACAGCTGCAGCCATCTGTTGCATGGAAACAGCAAGACAAACGATCAAAACCCTTGCAAAATCAAATAAACACATCATATAATCGATATAATAATTATCTCATTATCACATCTGGCCTTCTCAATTGTTTGTCAGTAGTTGTAGCAAAAAAGTTACGATTATTCAATATCAACATTACTTAACATTGATAAGAAAAAATCTAAAAGTTGTTTTACTTGTCTTTCACTCTTTCTTTTTTAATAGTAAAGATTTGATTGAAATGAGAAATTTCTACATCAGTTTGTAACATAATTACCTTCAGTCTTTTTATTTTCGATAATTTTGTTTTCGACATTTAATTTTCCGCATTTTAACCTTCGACAATTGTACTTATGACCAAACTAGGAAGAATCTTACATACACACACACTGAATATCCTTAGACTGATGTCTTGACTAAATATTATAAATTCTATTTTAGATTTTTTTTTTTCAATATAATTTCTATTATTGAATTCTTTTTGTTTTTCAAGGTGGTGTTGGTAAATCTTCTATAAGTGTCAATTTAGCTCTTGCATTATCTCGTTTATCTTATCGAGTTGGAATATTGGACGCTGATATATTTGGTCCATCAATTCCAACATTACTCAATCTACGTAATCATAAAGCAACAACAATAGCGAAAACAAATCTTATTGAACCATTAATTAATTTCAATTTAAAATGTATGTCAATAGCATTTTTAACTAAATCTGATGGAGCTATTGTATGGCGTGGTCTTATGGTAATGCAAGCTATTGAAAAACTTCTTCGACAGGTTGCTTGGTCTCCATTAGATTATTTAATTATTGATTTACCACCAGGTACAGGTGATATACAATTATCGATAGCACAATTAATTCCCTTATCTGGTGCTATTATGGTAACTACACCACAAGAACTTTCATTAGTTGATGTACGAAAAGCAATTGAAATGTTTCGTCTTGTTCATGTGCCTATACTTGGTATTGTAGAAAATTTCTCAACATACTTTTGTCAAAAATGTGGCCATGAAGAAAAAATTTTCGGTGAAAATGGTGGTCAATTATTAGCAAATGAGTTTCATATAAATATTCTTCAATCATTACCTATTGATTTACATTTTCGACAAGCATGCGATCAAGGTCGTCCAATTACACAAGAAAATGAATCGATTTTATGCTCAAAATTTAATAGTCTAGCAAAGCAAATAATCGAATTCATGAATACAAAAAAAAATACAACAGCAGAATAGCTAAAAATAAACATTTATCGTAGCAGTTTAATATTCTTGTATTGAATATAAAGTATAACATTCTTTTTTTGTTTTTGTGTCTATGATTGATTAATTGATTTTTAATTGCTTTCATTCAAATTAGTAACGAACAAGCTATCATGTAAAAAGAAAAAAAAAACTTGTTAAAAGTTATAAGTGTAAACCGGAGTACTCATTAAATTACTATCATGATCGTACATACCTAACGATCATTGGTTAATTTTTTTGCCCTTCGATGTTTTGCTTGAATGAACACTTAGTAAGTCATATAACATATATTGTGAAAAAGTGAATAAAGAAACAAACGTTTAGAATATCAAACCTTGATGGCTCATATATATATTTAAATAGTCAAGAGAAAAAGACGAATTACCGATAGATATATTCTTTTTTTCTCTTGCATATTCTTTTCCATATATTACTCGAAAAAAGATGCCTGTGTTAAAAAGTCTTTTTCGCAGAAACTATGCAGAAGATAATCTTCGAATTATAATAACTCGTCATGGTGAACGTGCTGATATAGCATTAGGACCACATTGGTTCAGAAATTTACGAAAAACTGGTGGTCGTTATTCTGGAGTATCATATTTAGTACCTCGACCAGATGATAGTGAATGGGAAAATGATCCACCATTAACGATTCGTGGTGAACATCAGAGTAGATCTACTGGTCGTAAATTACTTCAACTTGGATATCCAATTGATTATTGTTATTCATCACCTGCTTATCGATCAGTACAAACAGCGTCTAAAATTCTTGAGAGTCAAGGACGAAAAGCTGTGCCAATTAATATTGAACCTGGTATGATGAAAAGAAAAAGAAAATAATTATATACATATGATACAGGAGACATTACACTTAAGAGGTGTGAATGTGTGGATGTCAGTGTAGATATGAATGCGAGTCTAGGATTTGGATGTGACTCAAAGTATACGTCTGGGTCAAGGTGTGCACCTGATCTGAGTGCGAATACGATTCAAACAAATTGCCACACCCACATCCATAGTTTTAATTTGTCGTAGGGATGATAAAGATTTTAATTTCTTCTCAGAGAAATTTTTAATTCTCCGTGATTTTAATTTTCCGTGTAACATATACATTAGAAAATCTTTTTTTTAAAGGTCTCTTTGAATGTTCATCGTGGCATCGGAATGCACCACTTTCATTTATACCACCTGAATATTTAGCAGCGGATAAACATTTTAATATAGATCCGTATTATACACCAGTGTATAATACTATTGATGCAGTTGAAGATGAGGGCAGTTATTATCAACGTTCACGTCTTCTTATTGATGCAATTGTTAAAGCACATAAACACCAAGGTGGTACTATTTTATTATCTGGACATGCTGGTTCAATTGAAGTAATAACACGTGGTATGCTTGGTCGTAGTGCACGACCTGAACGTCTTCATTTTGAAGCTGATAAGGTTGATTTTTGTAATTTTGCTATTCTTGAACGTGATGCAAATACAAATCAATGGCTTATTCATCCACCATATTCAAACGAAAGTTATTATAGTGGACATGAAAACATTCCAAGTACAATACCGCTTCATAGAGCTACTTCACAATATATAGGAGCAAATCCATTAAGAGGATCATCATCCTATTCAGAATTTTATCCATTGAGAAACAAATTGTATCGTTATTATTAATATCATTAATTGTGTATTTTTTTATTTTTTTTTTGTAAAGAAAAAAAAGGAAAACACAAATATATCTATATTTCAAAAAGAAAAAAAGATTCAATCCTCCACAAATCGAACACACGCACGCACACATTGATATATGTAAGAAAAAAAAAAAGAACATGTCATGCAACTGTACAATGAACTGCGCTCTAGGAAAAAAAGCAAGAACTTCTGTCATAAATGCAATTGGCTTGGTTGAAAACGTTTTTTTTTTTTTTTCGTTTTGATTTTTGAACGATACACAAACAACAACGAATAGAAAAAGAAAACAACCAACAACATTGACTGACTGACTTGGTCTATATTTTTTTTTTTAAAAAACAAAAACTACAAAGATGACTGTTCTCAACCATATATACATATTAAATTTTTATTTCACATTTTTGTTTCTTCAATTTCTTGATCTCCATTTTGTGCTACTTCATATCGACTTCTATCATTATATATATGTGCATGATTTGCACCTTGAGCGATCATTAAAAAGATCTAGATTAAATTTAATTACTAGAAAAAGAAAAGAATACATGAATTAAAATCATACCAAACTAATTATAATTAATACACATGATGCTGTTGTAACAATACTTAAACTGAAATAATCACGATAAGACTAAAAAATTAAAAAAATAAGACAATTTTTAATTATCCTATATTCTTCTTGGTTTTCAAACTCTTGTTTTTTTTTTTTCTTATATATTTTACAAGCATAATTTAAAATGATATAAATAGGCACAAGCAACGAATATAATAACCAAGCTAAGCCTTTAAAAAAAAAACATAACTTTCTTTTAGGAAAAAGAGTGTAAGAGAGTGCAAGGAATACTAAAGAAATAAAAATATCACAGAAAAATAACAATCATAAAGCTAGTCGTCAAAATATGTTGAAAGGAGAGAGAGAGAGAGAGAGAGAGAGAGAGAGAGGGAGAGAGAGAGCATAGGGGGATATGATAAGGGGCATCATGTAAATGTTTATTTGTGAAAGATGAATGATACTTAACAGGCTCGAGTTCAATGTCAATAATAGATATGCCTTTTTCAGATTGATCTTCCAGTCGTATTGACTGGAGATATTAAATATAAGATTTAATAAATTTTTTATAAATACTTACTGGATGACAAATATCTGCAAGTTTAAATTGAGTTGGTTTTTCATCTAATCGATGGGCATGTTGATTAATTTCATTTAAAACTAATATATATATACAAAAGAATAAAATAAAATAAAACAAATAAATGTCAACTATTTATAAATTACTTACTGTTTACAAAACTACCTCCAGCAGTACCATAACGATTACTACATACAACAAAATAGATATACAAAAGACCATACAATGGAATAAATGTTAAACAAGCAACACTAAGCCATGATATTGTTAAAAGAAATGTTACAAATAAAACCTATAATTAAACAAGAGAAAATGAAAATAAAACAAATATTTTGTTTTTTTTATACTTACGAAACCATTTAAAACTCTTGCACATAAATTTTTTCGATAACCCCAAAAATATTTTTTACGAGTTTTTCCACTTAATATACTTGCTAAAAGTACAGAACATATACCAAACACAAATGTTATTGCAACACCACATCCAATCACAAGTCGACTGAAATGTAAACTTTGAAGAGAAAAAAAAAAATAATTAGATAAGATAACTTTGTGTTTTTTTTTTGCTTTTTGTCTTACATACCATTTTTTACATGACCATTTTTCACTATTTTGAACTCTATGTATGGTATATAGAGTTGACATTGTGAAAAGAACACATCCAATCATTAAGATAAGAAAAGAAAGAAGAGATGGAAACGGAGTTTTATAGAACATAATGAATTTATCAAACTTGTCTAGAAAACAAAGAAAAGAGACTATCAATGATAATTTGTGACTATATTTATTTATTTTATAAGTAAAAAGAATAATGAAACACTTTGTTTCCGATTACATAATAGAGTATGATGACTATAGTTGAACGTTACATGGAAAAGAAGGAAAGAGTATTATACGATTGATAGACATACATATGCGTGTGTATTTGGTAACACCGCTATGCATTACGCAAAGAGAAAACAGGAAGAGTAACTTTTCTTTCTCTCATACTCTACTAGAAATAACTTTCAGCAGTAGTTCAATTATGTTTTTATTCTCTCTAGCGCTTTGCTTTTGTTTTAATATAACGATGAGATCGATCAATTATACATCGAACTCAACTTCAAAAAAAAAAAAAAAAAGAAAATTTCAACACTGATCTATAGGGAATCCATACTTCATGGTAGAGTGGTGATGCTGGTGCATGCAAATAACTCTATATGAATGTATTGACACGTTTGAGGGATCAATAGGATCACATACATACAGTCTAGAATTCCCATCAATTGTGATGCAATATGCATTTCTCTTTTCTCTATATATTTCATTCATCAACTCAAACAGGAACTTACATATGACATTGATTCGTATGGGACGCATGGGCTTGATTTATATTCATAGACCGGCGACGACATATGAACATAGCGGATCATTAGAATGACCATCACCATACAAGTGAAATGAGCGGATACAAAATTTTATATATGATTGATTCAGTCAATGTAAAAGCACAACTTTTTTTTTTTTTAGCTCACATAATTTGCTTCTTTCTTTCTTTCTTCTTCTCCTTCATCGTCTCATGTACAACGACAATGATCAGATGCTGCTAATAGTAATAGCAGTACTATTACTCCTACTAATATTACTACTAATGATGATGGTTATAAAGCGTATATACACACGAACAAGCAAATAAACATGCGACTTGCATAAATTAATAACGGGTTAGCACAATAATAACCAAGGTTAGAAATAGAAAAGAAGAAAAAGCAAAAGAAATAAAAAGCAAAGAATAGTCTACTACCCTTAGGATGTTTACTGATCGTTTTTATCATTCGATTGATAGATAGGCACATAGATTGATATCGACAAATCATTAGTTCACATCAGAAAAAGATTAGAACTCTTATAATGTTCATTGCACCAGTTGTTGTAGGAGAAAGAGACATACATTTCTATATTTTGAATAGAAAAAAAAAATGTGCATATATATATATATATATATATACTGTTGTTCGAGTCAGACAGAATGATTATTTTAATGATAACAGCCTCTTTTCGAGACGTACTTTAAACCATAAAAAGGCTCATAACAATTTCTTATCTAACTGACTGGCAGCGAATTATGATAGAAGGACAACGATGTCTCATATCTCGAACAAACATCAAGGATGATATGATTGTCTGACCAGATCTAAGTTTCATTTCTTTTTCTTTTTCTTCTTTGCGTCTCTCTTTTTATCATGTACATGGAGCTAACTTATGATGCAATGATCTATAGCATTTGAAGCACATACATATAAAAGGTCATCTTAATAAGCATGTGAACGCAGTTGCCATCATCACTTACGAAACTTTTTGTGATGTTATGAATACTAGTGTCAAGATCTTTTTAGTAATGACAGCGGAAATCGTATTAAAACGGCTATCATAGTCGGATTTGTTTTGAATAGCCATATGCGGATCAAACTCTTCATTGCTGTTGTCATCTATTTGTCATATTCGATCTAAAAATGAGTGAATAAGATAGAAAAAAGAACTGACTTGAAGAGAAAGGAATACGATAGGAGGGAACGGAAAAATCTTTCTCTCCCATGTCGTTGTCATCATTTTCCTTCTGAAATTTTTGTTTGCTGCAGTTCAACACAGGAAAATGCACTGAGAAAAGAGTGCAACAAGAAACGACAAAGAATAATTAGACGGATTTTCGATGCATTATATAGAAGAAGCATCGGCATTTCTTAGTTGTTCTCGTTCAACGATCTTTTTTTTTCTTTCTTTTTTCCATTTCTCATCGAAACAAACAAACTAGGAAACAATTCCTCACAGAAAAAAGAATCGACAAATGCAGACAAGTTTTTTAATAGAGTAATTGTAGATATATACTATCAAGAAAAAACAGAGAAATTGTCGAGGTCTTTTATACTCCCTTAAGCGGTTCCACTCTACCAACATAATTTTATAATGACATCAATAAATAATAATAATAACAATAATATGAACATCCACTTCAGTATTTTTCAATAGATAAAACCATACCTTTTTCCTTGTTTAGCTTAGGTGAAAAATGATATTTTTTTTTTCTCACACTTACCTTCTTCTTTTTTTTTTTTATACAGGCATCTGCACTCGAGTTCAACTTTTACACAAAAAAAATGACACTTTTCTTGGCTTCCTTCTTTTTTTACATACTCGCTAATGCGGTGAACTATTTTTTTTTCTCTCGTGTTCTTTCACTTCGCTTTTGTCCCATCCTAATTCATTCTATCAACATAAAAAAAAAAGACGATAGAGAAAGGCCGATGCTTCTGCTACCAAGAGTTACATATGTGCATACTCTTGTGGAAGACAAAGAAAAAAAGAATGACCTGATTCTTATTCTTTATATATATATATATACGGCCTCAGTCGCTTTATTACATACCTTCCGGAATGATGGGAAAAGAACAGAAGGAAATTCATTATTGTTCTATTCAATTTAATAACATTTATCTTAGTATTGTATTAGCCGAAAAAAGAAAATTATCATTAATTTTCTTTTCTTTTTTGTTTTCTACATTGAGAATTTTTTTTTTTATTTCGAATGAAATATCAGACATTAAAAGGTAAAGAGAGTTAAATAAAATGGACGGTAAACATCATTTGTTAGTAAAAAGAAGCAAAGTAAAAACAAAGGACAAAAATGACATTCAGAACATTTCATCATTCGGTAGTATCATTACTAAATTCTTTAGAAGATATTATTGATATAATCATTTTTGTATTCGTATGCAATGGAATTTCGTATTTTAATGGAAGTGTTTGTTCATCCTACAGAAGAAAAGATTAAAAAAAAAAGAGATTTTTCTTTTTTTAATTTAAATAATATAATATTTTACTTTGAGATTAGTAATATGTGACATACGATCTGTGCATAGATCAATTTTGTCAGGCAAAAGCATTATTTGTGCTTCACGAATACCTGATATCATAATTTGTTGATTTGAATTAACCATAATTCCCTGGTTATTAGCGCCCATTGAAATAAAACAGATTGATTGATCATTTAAAGAATCAAATATAAACCATTTACCACGACGTATTCGTGTTCTATTCATAGATATATTTAATATAAATATGTGAATAGAAAATAATTTCTTTTTACCGAAGAATTTTAACAAAAATTTTTGCTGCATCTAAATCAAATTTAAGATCAATTGAAGAGATCGAACGAAAATTTGTATCATTCATTGAAACAGAACTAAATAAAGAAAAATAAATAAATGTAAATGTCCTATTACAGGATTTATATATAATCTATATATCATACTCAGCATTCCAAGAACATCGAGCAAGTACTCGACCAAGCTGTGAACCTTCTTTCTCAATCTTTTCTCGAATCATTTGTTTAGCATTTGGTATAATATCAAAAACTGATTCTTGACGTGTCATGTCTGTTACCAAGAGAGATCCACCTGTTCTATAGAAGATGACAAAAATAAAAATCATGATTTTTTGAATATAGAATTATTTTTCTATTACTTTCGATTTGTACTAAATAAATCAATTATTTGTGCAACATTACATTCTTGTGCTGCTTCAAGTTCATTTTCAAAACATCCAACAAGCTAATTTAAAAGTAAAAAATATATTTAAGAATAAAGACAAAATAAAAAATTTAATTAATTTATATACTTGTAAAAATTCAACTGAACCAAGGTTAGTTCGAAAAGATTTTAGTTGTCTATCGTTAGTTATTAATAAGTCATGTATACGAGTATCACCATTAGATGAATATAAATTAGGTAAAACATGTCCAAATGGTATATGATGACCAGTATGAAATTGTGTACCTGTTTTAAAAACATATTTAGCCAAATATTGCAATAATTTACATGGCCATAATGGAATATCTTGAACAGAATTACTAGTTTCTGGAAATTTACGTAAACGAAATGTTAATTCAAATCCATAACCAGAAATCGGATTACTGTCATCTTTAGATGGAGCTCTATAAACACAGAAGACTTTTTTATATTTCAATTACTTATGATAAAAATCTAGATATTAAGAAATTACTTATGTACTCGGCCATCACCATGAAGATCACTGAAGCCAAATGTAACATAATGCCAATGAGCAGGTGATGTTTCATTTCCTTGATTATGATAAATTGATATATAATCTAAACATTCAGATCCTCCAAGCCTAAAAATCAATCAACAACTCCAATAATAATAATAATTATTATTATTATATCGAATAATTATACCAATATTTAACTACACTTGCTGCTTGAGTTGGATTCAATTGATCGGGATAAATCTTTGAGCATGTTTGTACAATAGCATCAATTCCTATATACGATCTATTATTGGCTTCTGTCATCTGTAAAAATAATATTTAATATTTAAATGTCTACATCGATACACGAAAAAATTAAATAAAGTACGCATTTGTTTTATTCGAACCATCAAAAAAAAAAAAATGAAAAATGAAACCAAAAGATAAAATAGAAATCAGCAATAATAGTAAAAGAACGTTGAGAAATATCAAATCGGGGCAGGGAAAGGGGTAACAGAAAAAGAACGAAGAATAGAATGAAATAATCGTACACGTACATGTCTAAAAGATAAATAAACGTGCATCAATATGACGAATGAAAACAAAATCAAAAAGAAAAAAAA